TCAAACCCCACTCGTTGCTCACCCAGGTTCCGTCTGGGCAATCGACATGGAACCCGGTAAAAGATCCCCTCTGCGCAAACAGCGAAAAGGTTAGAGAACGATCCAGGTCGACTTCTCTGGCTGTGGCATGCCCACGCTTTCCGGCGATTGCTTCTCTGCTAAACTCCGCCTCCAGATGTGAACCGATTGCAGGGAGAACATCAAACCGAGGCATGTTGAGGAACGTGGGCGTCGGGGGTGCCTGTCCAAAGTATTTCAAGTTCAGCAGGTTTATGGGTAGTTGTCCGGCGCCAAAATCCGGCCCTTCTCTGATTTGCTTGATAACTGCGTCGACGGGCATCGAGACGGGAAGTGTCTTTGTCGTGCTTAGATCTTGGACGTCCACTCTACTACCGGCGAAGTGATTATGCAAGGCCTCCAAGAACAAGTCGAGCCTGCGTCCACATCTTCCTGCTGGATGTGATTTGTGTCAAAATGTGAGATTTATTGGTTGTATTGGCCTTAACCACTGCCCAAGTCAAGAGGACGAAGGTCCCAGTTCTTATATACACAACAGAGATGTCCATGTGGGTCCGGACGCATCCTCGGTCTGGAGCGGTCTATTGTTTGACAACATACACAGTCGATAGCCATTTTCCCATAAGGAATACACATGTCGCTGCGACGTATGGAGACGAGTATACCGCTTAAGTCAGGTCAAGAATAGACAGAAGGTGTCAATATCAAGCCGCTCATTCACGTAGACCGTTAACAGCACTGCTGCCTACCATCGGTGGCGATAGCTTCAGGCAGCCTGGCTTCTGCCTGTCGTGTCTCAGATGCCTGCCTCGATTATGTCGGTATAAATTACCAACCTCAATTCAGTCACTAGGTAGAAGAAAAAATAGTCTTTTGTTGCCAAATTCGCTGGGGACCTTCTGCTCGGTCGTCAGTTAGTCATGCACACGTGCAGTGCGACAGAAGGTGTGACCAGCGAGCCCTCCCGCGATGGATCCGGCCGTACTGCCATTCCAGTGTTCACCTCCTCCTGGTCACCAATGCCAACAAGACGTACGATAAGAAACGAAATTTGTATTCCTCGAACAATTGGAAAACGTTGCCGTAACACTATTTCGCGCCAATCCAGCAGATGCTGTATTCACGACCCAGCCAGCGAGAGGATGCCTAGTCGTCGTTCCAAATTTGTCCCATTCACACCTTGGCCTGATCGACATGGATGGCATTTCCCTTTTCGCCCTCGGTTGTATCGAAAACGTCGATTTGGTAGTCTTTGAATTGTCGTGTCGGGACACGATTGGCAAAGAGTACAAAGAGTTCCTCAAATGACCGGCCCTTGGTTTCAGGCAAGCGGAAGAAGGCCCAAATCAAGGTGAGTAAAGCGGTGCCGCCCCAAAAGAAGCCAGTGTAGCCTTTCAGATTCCACGCCGTCGGATTCATAAAGTAGGGCTGGAGAACGGAAGCGATTACACTGCCGATATAGTAGGTGTTGCGGGCTAACACAATTGTTTTCTGTCGCAGCCTGGTGGAACTGACCTCAGCCGGAAGAGCCCAGCCAATCTGACCAACGGTGGCTTGAAAAGCGCACGTCCAAACCAAGGTAAGCACCGCTTGCGTCATCCCAACTGACTTGACGTTGGTGCGAACGTTTAGTATGGCTATCACGAAGAGTATGATAGCCATCAAAGCTGTTCCCGAGAGATAGATAGTGCGTCGGCCGAAATTTGGGATAATAAAAATCCAAGAAATAATGCAAAAGAAGAGGCCCAGCGCATTGCCGCCAATATTAAGATGATATGTTTGGTCGGTGGTTAGGCCAACTTGTTGAAAGAAGTAGGTTCCTTGTGCGGCGAACCAAGGCCCCGTGGTCACTTGCCCCAGAAATGCAACGCAGGCAATCTCTGTGCGGCGAGCGTCAACGCCTTTGAAGCAATCCCAGTATGAGATATTCGTCTTTAGAAGCTCCTCTTCTTGGTCGTTGGTATGGATGATGAGGGAAAGCTCAGATTCGATATCAGCCGCGTCCAGGTCGTTCAGCCGTTTCAGGGATTTGCGGGCATCCTCGATGCGACCCTTGCGAACAAGATGCCATGGCGACTCCGGAGCGAACAGGAGTATGGGGAAGAGAAATGCAGGCCAGATCCATTGTATCGCAAATGGCACTCTGTAAGCCCACGGACTGGTGTTGGTCGACATGCCTGCGAGAACCCCGGAGGCGAGCAGCTGGCCAATGACAAAGCACATATTGGTCCAGCTTGTCAGATAGACTCGTAGTGAGAGCGGTAAGACTTCTGACGAGTATGCAGGAGATGAAGTTGCAAAGATCCCCCAGGGCAAGCCACACAAGATCTCGCCAACAAGCAGCATCGTAACATTAGAAGCAAAGAAAACAATGAAGATAAATGCTGAAAGAGCCACCAGGGAGCAGAGGAGCACCATTTTCTGCCCGAAACGGTCGACTAGTAGGCCGTTCAGCATTGCTCCGAAGAAAGCGCCAACTCCGGCCGCATTGCCGAGACCCGCTTGCCAGCGAGCAGGCACTTGGTAGGTCTCGGTGGTAGGATCGTAGCTGCCAAATTTCTTCGCGAATTCTGGATACGCGAAAAAGTTTCCGAGCAAGGCGGTGTCATATCCTTCCATGATCACACATACCGAGACCAATACTGCCCAAAAGATGGCCTTTTTGTGGGTCCGAAGGGCCCTACCGATAGGTTCTGCATGTTGGGCAGCTTCAGCACGTTTGGCAGCTTCAACATGCTCCGCAAGGTGATGCAAGTCAGACCGCTTGCGTTCACTGGCGTGTGGGTGTTGAGATGAATTGGAGTCCATTCTCTATCAAGACAGAGCGGGTTGAAATTGCGGCGTTAAGATCAAGCTGGAGTCATTGCTCTATGTTGGTCTGGGTGATATTGTCGAATCTGTACCGTCTTTATACTTTCGCCCTACCTGGTCGGCCAGGGTCTCCATGGAGGACAAGGCGAGGCGAATGGTGGCAAGCCTAATAACGCTTACCGGATTTGCATCAAGCTGGCCAGCTTGCCACCGGGCGTAACCAATTAGTGGGTGAGGTACAAGTACCTATTTCTTAGTCGGTCCGGAGATGCGGGGAAATCTGGGGATTCGTACCTCGAGAAACGTCGAGGCGATTGTTGCTGAATCGCGTGCTTGCACTGTCGCTGGTGTGGCATCTTGCAACTTAAGGACATAGAACATCACCCACCATCAGATGTGCGGACGCATACGCTCCGTGAATTGTTGCTACATCCCATTGTTGGTTCCTTTGCCGAAGGTGATCAACAACGCCGCGGATTGTGACAGGCAGGAGGTATATTGGCCTGAGGCGCTTTACTGTGGGTCGGGCATCGACTAAGGTAAGGTTTGCGGTGGAGACTAATTGAAATCCTACCAACCAAGCTCGCTCAAAGCCGAAGGCTACTTGACAAGGCGTGTCCGTCGCCAAATGCAGGCAGGCCAACTTTCCGTCGCATGAAAGCCACCAATCAATTTGATCTTACACCGAATGGAACTGGTGTTATCCATGCTAGCCTGGCATGTCCTCCTTAAATGTACTGTACCAACCCGAGGAATAATGTCCCGCGAGAAACGTGAATTCGGGATAGTTGGCAGTGCTGCAGAAATAATCCGTCGGTTGTTACGGCATCGACGCGGATCGAGTAGGACGTTGTCGGAACTGAGCCGTCTTAGTGGAGACGGTGTACTCCTGTATGGGATGATCCTAACTCCGTCGCCTGGCTAAGTAACTCCAACTGTCTGGGGCTATGTCCGAAGTTTTGAGCCCATTCACTGACCGTCGCCACGAACTTTCTCCTCCTTGAAGCAGCACACCCGTGCACCTGTCCAACAGCCCAACTCCGGCGAACCCTTAACGACAAAACATGACAAGATCTTTGGTTCATCCAGTTCCGGCCACGGGCGCTACGGCCAGCCGTAAGTACATGATATCCTGAGCGTCATTTGTTCTCACCAGATTCTTCCTCTGACCAAAGTGACTACTCAGCTGTTGTCGTCAACGAGCTCTCTTTCGAGCTGAATGGACACAGTGTCTCGTATCGCTTCCATGTCGACCACGAAACAGGCGACCTTGTCTCGGACCACTTTGGTGGTAGTGTGACGGAAAATCCTGCAGTGCAACTTGCACACAATGGTGGATGGTCGACGAAGGGCCATGTTCGGCGCGAGTTTCCTGACCTCGGTAGAGGGGACTTCCGATCTCCGGCGGTGCATATCAAGCACTCTGATGGCCATACTGTGAGCAACTTCAAATATCAATCTCACACGGTCATAGACGGCAAGCCCAATTTGCCTGGCCTCCCTGCAACCTTTGGCAGCGAGGATGAAGTCGCGACACTTGTTCTTCACTTGTACGACGGCTATAGTTCCATCGCTGCTGATATATCGTACTCTGTCTTCCCTAAACATGATGCCATCGTTCGGAGTATCAAAATCTCGAACAAGGGAACAAGAAAAATCTCAATCGAAAAGCTGGCTAGCTTCAGCGTTGATTTGCCGCGCAACGACTACGACATGCTGCAGCTCCGGGGCGAGTGGGCGCGGGAGTGCTCCCGACTGCGTCGTAAGATTGACTACGGAACGCAAGGGTAAGTGGAAATGGCTAGACTTAACCTGTGTCCCTGTACTAATGTCACTGCGAAGATTTGGTAGTACCACTGGCTACTCGTCGCATTTCCATAATCCATTTCTCGCTATCTTGTCCCCTACTACCACCGAGTCGCAAGGGGAGATTTGGGGCTTCTCTCTGGTATATACGGGCTCATTCAGCGTCGAGGTGGAGAAGAGCCCCCAGGGATTAACCCGCGCTCTGATCGGCATGCATCCTTATCAACTCTCTTGGCCTCTTGAGCCAGGAGAGTTTCTGGTATCTCCCGAATGCGTCTCCGTTTTCTCAGACTCGGGAGTCGGCGAGATGTCGCGCAAGTTCCATCGCCTCTATCGTCAGAATCTTATCAAAAGCAGATTCGTCAGCGAGCCACGGCCTGTTCTTCTCAACAGCTGGGAAGGCCTGTACTTCGACTTCGACGAAAAGACCATCTATAAACTTGCGGTAGAGTCGGCTGCTCTGGGTGCGAAGCTCTTTGTCCTAGATGACGGCTGGTTCGGGGTTAAGCATCCTCGTCTCGACGACACCGCTGGTCTCGGCGACTGGGAAGCTAATCCTGATCGATTTCCAGAGGGCCTGAAGCAGCTCGCAGAAAACATCACGAGCCTCCAGGCCAGGAACTCTCAGGAAAAACTACAGTTTGGTCTCTGGTTCGAACCTGAGATGGTCAACCGGAAGTCCGGCTTGTATGAGCGACACCCTGCCTGGGTACTCCGCGCTGGCGATTGCCCTCGCACCGAACTACGCCAGCAACTGGTACTAAACCTGGCCCTCACCGAGGTCCAGGATTTTATCATCGAATCACTAACTTCGATTCTTCGGGCTATGCCTATCACTTACATAAAGTGGGATAACAACCGCGGCATGCACGAGAGCCCCACGCCGGACAACCATCACGCATACATGTTGGGTATGTATCGCGTGTTCGACAAGCTGACGTCCCACTTTCCCAACGTTCTCTGGGAAGGCTGCGCGTCCGGCGGTGGCCGCTTCGACCCTGGTATCCTACAATACTTCCCGCAAGTTTGGACGTCAGACAACACGGATGCACTGGACCGAATTTACATCCAGTTTGGTACCTCGTTGGTATACCCACCATCGGCAATGGGCGCGCATGTATCGGCCGTGCCAAACGAGTTGACAGGACGTATTACGCCCATTCGATTCCGCGCTCACGTGGCCATGATGGCTGGCTCATTCGGTCTGGAGCTCAATCCGGATGCCATACCTGACAAGGACAAGGACCAAATTCCGGAGTTGATTGCTCTTGCGGAGAAGATTAATCCGATCGTTGTACTAGGGGATTTATGGCGTCTTAGCGTACCGGAAGAGTCCAACTATCCGTCAGCGCTCTTCATCTCCCAGGATGCCAACCACGCAGTCCTATTTGCTTTCCAGATCCGTGCCACAACAGTACACAACTACCCTCTGATTCGTCTCCAAGGCTTAGATCCAGCGGCATACTACAGCCTCGATGGCAAGCAGATTCTTTCGGGTGCAACACTTATGAATGGCGGCATTCAGTATAGATTTGCGGGCGACTACGACAGCAAAGTCGTTCTCTTAGAGCGGCTCCAGGATTGACGTTGGCCGGTAGTGGCTGAAGGTGGGTTTGAAGGAAACTGTGTGGAACTGGACTGCCTGTAGACTGGTACATAAACTCGTCGCGTTGCACATCTCAACCCATGTCCCGGTCATGCATCCACACTAAATTCTCGAGATATGTACAAACCATTGCGGCGAGCTTGACACGTCCATAATGCCGTGATCTCATGAGGAGAGATTGTATTGGTTTGTAAGGCGCACAATCACGACGAAACAGAGAGTGAAGAACGGGTGCGAATCATGCAATTGTTGATCTCTGGCCCTCCCTCCCTTCTCGCTGGGAGAGGGATGGCCATATAATACTCCAGCTCCGCTGCTGCCTGCAAGGCAGCAGCTGTTGCCTTCTAGGCAGGATTGTGTTGCCTACCCGACCGGTCTGCCCGTGACATGGTTATGGTGCCGTCCTGGTACTGGGTCGTAATCGATAGGCCAGGGCTGGAGGGACGATGGTGGTTTACTGCATCAATTAATTAGATGATCATTCTCAGCTGTCGGGGGGGTGAATCTGGAAAAGATTGGCTGCAACACGCCGCCCTTTGGCAAGAATATCCTTCTCTGTAAAAGAACTGTCAGGAAACCGGGTTCACGGCGTCCATCTTTGGCATCAGTCAATTGATGAGAATTATCTGAGGAGAAAGAGCTCCATCAGAAGCTGCACGGTTCCCGTCCAGCTCTTGTACACAAATGAAACCTTTGCCGGTTTAGGCAGTAGCAGCTGCCTGGTAGGCAGCTGCAGCCACTGTGCGCATGCTGGATGTGCGACAAGAACCGAGACAGGTCTGACGACATTCTAGTGAAGTAGGACATTTCCCCAGGGGTCCACCAGATGCAGTGACGCTCCACGGCTCAATCCCGACCAATGGACGCGAGATCCGAGCCTAGTGGCCCCGCAGTGCTCCCCCGTGACTCCCCTCCAAGGGCCTCGTATTGCTCTCCTCAGAGAAATCCAACTTGGCATGTTCCATAAATCGCACCGTAACCGAGCGAAGCTGGCCGCGTGGTTATGTACTAAGTTGATTTGGTGAGCCAGTCATTCACATAAAATTGCACGTTGTCCGATGAAATTGGTCTTGACGGTGCAAGCATTGTGCCGAGTTCTGCTCCGGGACGTCGGCGCTCAGCGGAGCTTCGTCTCTGTCGGACTCAAGTGGGTGCCGCTGCAAGGAGCGTTAGGGAACTTCAGGTGGCGGGATGTTGATGCTTCTCGTGCGTGGTCCTCGCTCCGTTTGCAGGTGCACGTTCGTCAGGGCCGGAGGTTGCGGCGGCAGCAGGCGCAGCTAATTACTGGCATGTACTGGGACGCCAGCCCCTACCTGGCGGGACAATCTCGCTTAGCTGAACAGCTGCTGATTCCAGCAGTGCCTCGGGTGGGTAACCAAACACGCAGCCCACCGGGCCTCAAACACGTTCGCGATATCTCCATTACCAACTGAGCACCTTCGATTCCTTGACTAACAGAGCCACCATCGTTGCTGTACACGGACTCAGCTCTGATGTCGAATTGTCGTCGACCTGGAAAGACGCCCTCCAGCACACCCGCTGGCTCCGAGATCATGACACGCTCCCTGCGACGGTGCGAACGGCAAGAATTGTACTGTACAACTACGACTCGAGATGGCACACAAACACGCCTCCGGAGCTGTCCTGGCGCGTGCTGGTAGGCCGAATCCATGAACTTTCCTGGGGCGTGGCGGAGCTCGAGCGACTTCTAGGGCCGTAATTGCCTCTGTGTTGCTCTCCAAACCAGCTGAAAGTCACTTGTCTGCCCCCCCCCCCCCCCTTCTTTTTTCCAGGATTGTCCAGACACTGGAACGACCAGACATTGCAGCATTGCATGACAAACGCATGACAGGCGCGAAAAGGCACTCTCTTCGACATCAAAGATGAAAATCTATTCAATGCCCAGATTCGCAATTGGGGCAATGATTTCCATGCCGTTCGAAGTCGATCCTGTGCAGGCACTTGGCACAACGCCACCACTCCTCGGACGTTTCGCCGCCCGCACCCTGTTTGCCTGTTTTTGTCGCTGTCACATTGTTAATGTCTTATTTATGGACGGCCTGGAAGTGAACGCGAAGACGAGACAGTCGGTTGAATGGGTCCAATCTGCGCCGGCATCGAACATAGTCGCAATAGAATGTCTCAGGACCGTGGCGTTGTTTGTAGTGTTGGTCAAGATCCAAATGCCGATCAAATGGCTTTGCGGAGCAGGCCGGATAAAGACAACACACCGGAAGGTCTGACGCAGGTTCCGGCCTAATATGCTGTATTAGTTTCATCGCTGAAGGACGATGGCAACAGAAGGGCACACTCCCAATTTGCTGACGCCGCTGTCTGGTGGTGATGTCGGCGGTGTGATACTTGCAACCTGTGCACGGCAATCCTGGCGCCCTGTATTTGTTGGAACCAAGCCGATCAGTGGCTTCTCATGCGAAGAACGGCGCGCGCCACGTGGCGCGACGGGCGGTCCCATTGCCAGCAACACCAGCTACTGATAGCAGGAAAGCGTCTTGGGCGCTCGCGTCATCAGAGGGGCCAGAGATTGTTGAAGGTGATCCTGAAGGGCTTGAATCAACTGATACCTGGGTGCTTTTGCTTGTGCCTGATGTGTGGCGCTGCTAGCGTAACTTCCCGACAACAGGGGCTCTGGCCCATGCCCTAGTTGCATTGGGGCGGTGCGTGTTTTTAGATCACGTCAGCGGCGCCACTTGTCATGCTACCACAACTCCGATCGGCCGTGCGGGCTTTTTTGGTCAATCATTTTGTCCTGCAATTCGACGACATTTGTGACAAGCTGCTGACTCGAACGCTGGTAGATGGCGGCGCAAAAGCCGCTGCCGAGAGTGAGACACGAAAAGCCAACATCCTTTACCACCGTGATAACATGGGTCGAATGTATGTCCATGCCACTAGGTTCACGTGGTCCACCTTCGTCAAGCCTATTGTGCGAATCAGGTCAGGAGCACCACCCTCGAACTCCTTTACGATACAGCCTAGCTTCGTATTATGACAAACTTGTTGTAAAAAAAATGACGAAGTAAAATTTTGGCGTGTTCAATCCCCGGGCCGCCCAAGTCGGTCACTGAATCGGGCCAGAGTTGAAATGTTTTGTGACTGTATACACAATGTGGGCG